TTTGGTTTTTTTAATCAGAGAATTTACAATTTTTGTTTTTTTATCAGGGAAAACCAGGATCCCTGCTGATCACATATATAAAGGAACAGTAGACATCTACATAATATACAAAGCTGATATTCTAATACAGTCTGTTTGGCTGTGTTACAGGTTTATTTGGATTCATGTTGGACCGTTAGCAGGCACAACACTTAATTTGGCTCTGAATAACAGATGATAGCAGCTAGAGTCAAGTAATGCTGGTGCTCTTAATGCTCAAAATTAGTTGCATTATAAACAGGTGCACAATGAAATCTTGGCCTTATTGCAATCAACAGCAAAATTCTTGAATGGAATAAAATTTCATCCATGTCTAAGATCTTGCAGGACTCTACGCAAATGCAGATAATCTGCTTGGAGAGATGGAGAGCTGTGAACTAGGAATTAAGAGGTTACACCTGTTTACACCTCTTCATTTGTAGTTCACAGCCCTTCTCCATCTCTCTAAGCAGACTGTTTGAATTTGCATGGAGTCTTTGATATTTAGCTCAGCGTGTATCTGCTTCTCTTTCAGACCTAAGAGAGGGCACCTGATGCCCAAAAGTTGTCCAACAGCTCTTCCAACTATACCAATTTGGTCTGCTCTTCCAACTTGGTCCATTAAAAGATGTCACTAGAAAAGCCTTATCTCTCTTCCTTAGTTCACAATCTGTGACTTGGTTAAGAGGCAAGGAAAGAACTGAATTGTAACACATTCATTTTCTTGGAAAGTGTCTCATTAAAAGTATGCTAACAGAAGTTAATATTTGATGTATGTTTTGTATTTAATAAATGGGAGGCAGCCCCTCCTCCTTCCTCCTTGACTGTTTCCTTAATATATATCTGAAGCTTCCCATTAGTCTTCTTTACATAGAAAACAGCAAGTGTTTGCAGTGTACTTTAAAAAGATGTTTAACTGATTACTAGAAACAAGTCTGGCCATCCTGAGATTGTAAGATTTTCCTGGTACACATGAAGAGCCAAATCAAGGAAGAAAAATACTCCATTAAAGGCTTAGCGATGCCTTTATTTATGTGCTTGCAAAGTATGTTTATCAGTGTAAATAACTAAAATGTATAGAAAAAAATCATAAATGTTATAAAATCTAAATTTAAACAGTTAATTATGGACTATTTTTTTCAGTTTTTGAAAAATTTCCCACCTAGTAATTTTACATGATTAGTAACTTCCACTAAGAACTGAGGAGGCAGCACAGCTTTTGCTAGCAACTGAAAAACTTGACAGCAAATGTAGCTAGATTGGCCTAGTGAGATTCATTTTGTTGGCTTTTACTGTATTTCTGACCTATGGTCCAAGAAAACTGTTGTCACAGTTTTCCTAAAGGAAATATTCAACCAGTTATAGACATTTTAAACTATTTATGAGCTCAACATCTGTTCAACAAGCTTGGTTTAAATTTTCAGTCATGGTAAGGACTACAAGTTGGAAGAAGCTTGCTTTCTTTTCATCTCTGTAGTCTTACAATGTTTTACTTTTTTTCAGATAACTAAACAGTTACTGTTTGGAAAACAGAAAGCAGAAAAGCCTACATTTTTGACCACCCAGTATAAATGTATCTTTTCCTTTTAATCACTGAAATCTAAACCTTACTCTTACAAAGCTTTTTGAAAACTGACTTCCATTTGTAGTTTAAGACTATTATCTCTTGGTGGACACTAACTGCAAACATCTCTTAAGTTTGTTCTCTTTGTTAGAACTGTTTGGACTCCTCTTTAAAAACAAACTTTATTTGACCAGTTTCTGGGTTGGTTAAAAAAATATAGACTGTAGTTAAAAGATCTGTTAATTGTTGCCTTTGCCTTAATAGCTTTACAGTTCTTTAGGTGGCAAAGCAAACCTTGTTACTTAGTTTTTGGTTAGTAATTTTACATTTTGGTAGGTTAACTAACTTCATGTTTGATGTAGTGTTTTTTATCTACAATTCTGATGGAAAAATTATCAGTTCATGCTTTTCTCATGATGTTGCTTCTGTAGAGACACTTTCCTAACTACATAGCCAAAGAACATGTAAGAAGCCAGTTGTATATATGTTACATAGCTCTCAAACCTGATATGATACAATATGGTATGGTGTGGTAGAGTATTATGATATGATATATGACAGTGCAAAAAAGGAAGAGAGAAGCATTAGCATGGATATCCTTTGTGATTTGATTCTAGTTAGTTTTAAATGTAGATGGTATTTTAACGTAATTGGTGCTAACACTGTGTGTTATATAAAATAATATCATTTGAGCGTGTGGGTTAGAGGAATGTCTACCTGCAGCCACAAGATGAGATGAAAGTGCTTTGGCAGTAACTCAGAAGTTCAAGAACTGCAGACATTTACAACCTTCACAGAACACCATATGAAGTTGTTCCATTTAGGCATTTAATAACTTTGAAAGGGAACTTTTCTGTTTCCTGAGAGCATGGCAGCATTGATGGTATTAGCTACTAAGTCAATGCTGTCCATAGCAACTTTTCATTACTGAAGTGAAAGTGTAAGGGTGGATATAGCATTAAGGATAAAGGTCTAAGGTCAATCCATCTAATTTTAGTAATAAACCTTTAGGTGTGAAAACTGATCAGCTTATACTTAGACAGAAGGGGAACTATTACTGTGAGAAAAAGTGTCACAAAAGCTTTGTTTTATTCATATAAATCGGGTGGGCAATCATTTTGGGTGGAGGGCCGCTTACTGAGTTTTGGCAAGCCATCGAGGGCTGCATGACAGGCAGCCCAGGGCAGATAAATATTATTTTTCTGAATTTTTTAGGGGCCCCATGGGCTGGATAGAATGGCCTGGCAAGCGGCAACCAGTCTGTGGACCACATTTTGCCCACCCCTGATATATATTGTGTGTGTGTTTGTGTGTGTGTGTGTGCGCGCGCGCACACATATACGTATCTAAGTGTATATATATAAGTATATATAGATATCTCTATATATAGAACACAAAGGACCATGAGAGCAAATGTGCAGCAATGAGAGAAATAAAATATTTACTTTATTATTTACTTTAATAATATTTAATATTTACTTTATTATTATTTGTAGATAGAGCAACTGTCCACACACATCCATGCATGTTCAGGAGTGGGAGAGGAAGGGAAAGCTTGCCCCACCACCAGCACTGGCCTCCCTCCCCCACCCCATCCCTTCCATCATGGTGGTGCTCTGCTGTGCCAGTCCCCCTCGGGTGGGGAAGGAGTGCCGCCATGATGGTGGGAACGAAGCTGGCCACTGCCGCCACTGCCTCCAAGGAGCAAGGGGGGGTGGGGAATGAGGCCACCCCTTGGATGTGGTGACGAGGCCAGAGCGGAGTGGGCAAAGCCAGCACTGTGCCACCAGCACCCCGCACCGCTGCTACCTCCAATGAGCAGGGCTGGGGGGGTGGGAGGGAGGCAAGGTCAGCAGCGCTGGCCTTGCTCCTCTGCACTATCCCCTGCATCCCTGCTGTCATGGCGGCACTCCACCGTGCCTATCTATTCCTTCCATCCCTTTCTGCCTCGAAGAAGCAGGGCTGAGGGTGTGGGGCAGGGGGAGCTGAGCCCCAGCCCTTCAGTCCCTGCTGTAATGGCAGCACTCCTCTGTGTGGAGTTGGGGCTGGGGTAGGTGCTGCCCAGTCGGGGCGGGGCGTGGGGTAGAGCCATGGCTTGTCCAGTTGAGCGGCTCTCAACACTGCACGCACCATGGCTGGGACATGTGTCCTGGATTGGGGTGTGGTAGGGCAGGCTGCAGCTGTGGGCTGGGGTCCGCTCCAGGCTCTTCCTGGCCGGGGGGGGGGGCTG